TTTGGTTCACTGGGCAAAGTTTCGACTCATGTTATACCCCCCTGCTGCCTTGCCTACAGCCCTGGCAAGCACAGAGCAGCAGCCTCACCTGGAAGAAGTTGATCTGCACAGTGCCATTGCTGAGGTGCAGGATGATGGCACTGCGGGTCCGGAACCAGGTGCAGAGGTAGGGCAAACGGGCCAGCTCGTCTCCTTCCCGCGGCGTGATGTTAGCACCCGCCTTCAGCAAGTGCTCGCTCATGTAGTTCCGGAAGTATTTCAATAGTGTTATCTGCAGAGAGGAAAGGCTGTGAGCAGACAGGCTGAGGATGACCCTGCTATCTGGGGAGGGCAGGGGCTGCTATCACGGTCCCAGGGCCTCCTTAGATCTTTCAGAGCTTGAGATGTCACTGCACAAACTTGTGCAAATCCTCACGCTCAACGTTAACTCTCTCTGTGATATTTGAGACTCACTGCTGAACACTTTGGTACATACAATTCGTGGGAACACTTAATTCTGTGAAGCTGCTCATAAATGAGCCTCAGATAGCAATGAAAAATAAGTAGAGCTGCTAGTGTCTGTCCTTAGGGCTGCGTTTTACCAGCCAAGAGGAAGCCTGCGGAATGCCAGCGACCCCGAGTTACAGACGATCCTCCCTGGGACCCACCCTGCCAGCAAAACCCAACAGGGCTGGCAGAAGTCTTGCTGGGAGCAGCCACCCCCCAGCGAGGGCTCCTGTCCCCAGGACTGACCTTCTTGTTCAGGGCAGAGGGATAGGACCTCACAGTGAAGTAGGACTCGGTGCTGTTTTGCTCAATGTACTGCAAGCTGTCCCCATCATTGTACATAATAAGACGAGTGGAGTCGTTGAAGAGAACTCCAACGCTGTTGTCACACAGCTGGTAACCTAGTTCAAAAGGGAGCCTGTTAGGCCTTCAAATACACGGGACCACCAGTTGTGTGAGATACAAAGGTAGAAAGTTGCACCATTTAGGGGCTCCCCGACAGCCACCCCACCAAGTCCCCACCATGGCTAAAGATTCTCCTCTTTGTGGAGGTCTGGGTGGCGCATCTCCTCCTCTGGATTTGTCATCCTCCCTTGTTGCATCGCCTGCTGCAGAACCAACTTTAGCTGCCATGGTGGGTACGCATGCTCACTGCAGAGCAAGGCCAGCCATCTCATGCAGCAGGTAGCCATTTCTGACCTTAAGGTGGCCAGGGCTGATTGCAGTGACCACTACTCTCTGGATTCACTGGGTATTTGGTAGTGTTCCCAGTGGTGGTCTCTGACACACACACTGGAATACTGTGCCTAAAGAACCAGACCCACGCAGTGTCCAAATCAAAGCTTCCCCCAGCCTCTTCAGAAACTAGAAAAAGCTGAAGTGTTGCTCCCGTATTACTTACCTAGACCATATTTATCTGAGTAGTCCACCCATTTGCTAACCCAGAAGATGGGAATGCAGGCTGGGTCTTCAGCTTCTTCTACAAAGAGGAAAGGAGTTTGTTAGAAGATGTTTCACGGCATCCTGTGCACCCCAGCGAGTAAGCACGGCCAAAAGGCAGGTAAGTAGCTACTGCATCACTTCTCAGCCTTCCAGTTTGAAGTTGAGGACAGCTGGCTTCTCACTTCAGACAACAGCATCAGTGGCAGAGAAGCAAGTTACCCAGGCAGACCAGGGCCTGTGGGACTCACCTTGTCTCACTGCCACTCTCTCAGAGGGCTTGGCCGAGTTGACTGCAGTCAGCTGCTGTAACATGTCAGCCAGGTGACACCCAACAGCATCTCCCAGCTCCCGCAGCCCAGCTACGTCTTCCTTCTCAGGCAAATTCTCTAGCGCAGGGCTGTCTGGTCCTGGGCCAGGGAAAAGAAGAGTGGAGGCATGACTAAAAGCACCAGATTTGCAGTCTACCCTAGCTGCAAGAACCACACTGTGTACCACATCGCTAAAGCTAGGGCTGACACTTCCCCCTGCTTTGGTTCTGGGCAAAGAGCAAAAATGCTCCAGGTTTTCATAAGAACAGGGAGAAGAGGTGAGAGAGCACCCCATTCCCCGTTGACGGTTCTGGATGTTGCTGGAGGCAACTGCAGTCCAGCCTCACCACCAGGCACCTGCATTTACCTTTGTTGAGTGCAGTCAGTGGCTTTCGCCCATTCAGTTCAAGTCCACTGGGAGCGATTGAAAATCTAGGTGCAACGGTGAGACAGCTGGTGGGCAAGCGGCTGGGGATGTACCCTGATGTGAAGAACTCGTCATTCAGCAACTCGTCAATAGTTGGGCGTGTGGCAGGGTCGGACCTCAGCATCTTCTGGATGAGGTTAGCAGCTACAGGGTTGATGTGCTAAGAGGAGACAGGCAGAGCATAGAGACAAGGGTCAAGGGACAATGCATGCTAGGGGCAAATGCACTGGATACGCAACCCAGGGGAAGTTCTGCTTGGAGCAGGGCTCCCGTGTTGCATCAGGCAAGCAGGATGCAAGCCTGGGGAAACAGAGCTGGGCAGGCACAGAGAGCTGTCTCCTAACAGCATGCGAAACATAAAGTTGACTGACTTTAGCAAGACCAAATCAACAGCAGTGGGATGAACTGGGGTCCAGACCTCATGGACTTGAGCATGTCCACTTAACCCCACATGCCAACAGCTCCGCTTGGACTTTTGCTGAATTATGGAGTGGAGGGGCAGCAGGGAGAGCTGCTGACTCTCCAGGAGGAAACTGGCCCTACAGGTTCACTCCACCACTGACTGAAACATCCCCTTCCTAGCACTCTGCAATAAGCGGTTTCACCATTATGCTAAAGCCCACCAAGTGCCAGAAACAGGATGGTGCAGCAGAAGGCTGACCAAGAACTACTGCGAGCTGAGTGGATCCAGCTGCAGGAAGTGACATACCTTGGGAATAGTATACTCGTTCTTCTTGATTCGGATGTACGTTTCCTTTAAACAAGAAGTTTCAAAAGGCGGTTTCCCCACCAGCAGAGTGTACCTGTGTGTTTACAGACAAAAGGGCGTCAGTTTTGCAAAAGAGACTCTTAGACTTGTGTGCAGAAGTGACCCTGTCCCTAAGCACACCCCGGGACTTTCCTGGCAGAGGGAACACGTTTGGCGCTGGACGTGCAGTAGCGCACACAGCTATGTGTCCTGTGGCTGGTTCCTGTGCCCCGAAAAGGGAAGCTGGGATCTAGTACCCTCTGGGGGAAGTTCCAGTTAGGAAGCATGGCCTTTTGGGAAACACCTCGAGACAGCCACGCTGAGCAGCAGATCAGCCTGCAGGCATGCGTGCATGGAGCACGGGGGAGGTTGAGCGCTGGCTGGCAGGGGAGCTCAGCCAGGGCAGGCGCTCTGGAGACAGCACACCCAAAACTTCGGCTCGCACCGAAACCCAGAGGGTCCAGTGAAACCCAGCACACACAGACCACCTGGCCCCACGTCCAGCCTGTGACATGGCAGCACGGAGGCATTTTGACTCACATGATGCAGCCGATGGACCAGATGTCCACCTCAAAGCTGTGCCCCTTCTTGCCCAGCACCTCTGGGGCAATGTAGTTGGGGGTCCCACACAGCGTCTTCTTGCGCTCGCCATCGTACTCCACTTTGGTGGCCAGGCCAAAGTCACCTGGGAGAGACAGAGTATGACCGGAGATGCTCTGGAGGGCTGGGGTCCCTGCTGTGGGGCAGCCACGGGGGGCTGGCAGAGCAACACATCATGGCCACCTACCGATCTTCACCTCCATGTCGTCACTGAGGAAGAGGTTGCCCAGCTTGAGGTCCCGGTGAATGACGCGGTGGCTGTGCAGGTACTGGCAGCCCAGGATGGTCTGGCGCAGGTAGTACCGCACCTCG